TTGTTTTGCTTTGGTTTTTCATTGAAGTATACCCTAGATGCATTTGTCTTGCCTTTGATGTGTACACATTTCATTTTTTTATTTTATCGCGCGTGAAGTGAGAAATTTTTCAAACTAAATTCCACAATTAACAGGTCAATGGATAAAGGAAGTAGGAATTATTCGAGTAATTATTGATGAGTTCACTTCTCTTTTTTAAATTATTAAATTGGTCCTAAATGGATGAATCTTCATGCAAAAGTAAAAAGAGGTAGAAAATGTAGAATAAAAATTCTTTTCTGCCTGTCCTCATTTTCGAAAATGTCAACTTTGTCGATTCGTCAGTTGATTCTTAATTAAGATAAGAAATGAAAGAATTGAAAATCCTGAAAGAAAGATTTCAAAATAATGTTCATCCTTGCATTCATACACGTTTGTTACATGCTACATAAGTGTATATGTGCACGTAGATCGGTCCCGACGGAGGGATGCGTCGAAAAAACGCAAATGCTATGACACACCTAAAAAGAGTTTCGTGACAGTTAGTCTAATCTTCAATCGAAAACCTAAGATTTATACTATAAACAGGTTTTTATCTCTCCCCTACATTTTCATAAATATCGGATGGAGAAGGATTAAAATACAGAATGCCGTGACACCGAGCGAACATTATTTCACTACTTCGTTCTAATAATCCTGACCGCAAAAACTGGGGAAAATCTGCATTTAGATTTGAACTATTCGATAAAAAAAGATGTAGCGACTGATTTGCATTCTGGAGTGAATATTCATTTTGAATTGTGATCTGCAATAACTTACGGATTAAAGAAAAATAAAAAATTTAACATTCAAAGAAATATTATGAACTCAAGCTACCGCAAACGATTGCATTCACTGGTAAAACCGAATAGTCATCCTGATATCGCGTTCAAAGAATCCTATCTAACATGACATATTTTTAAAAAAAACAAATTTACTTGAAATCGATGTGTAACCGAGATACGCGACGAATAACAGATAAGAAATTTAACGGTCATATCTCACGGAACGGAATATCGATTTCACGATGAAATTTTTATTTCGCTCGTTAAATGAAATTCGTGCATAAATTATGAACAGAATTCAACCAAAGTTGAGACGACGACGATTATTTCAGATGACAGTGGTTAGCGACTCGATCACCGTAAAGTCGTTAGAAATACCAGTTGATCGTGTTTTGGTAAAACCGACCGTCAACGGAATATGCGAGCTGCGCCGAGGAAACGATTACCGATTCCGAAGGGTTTAATTAACGATCAAGTGTATCGGAACTAGTCGCAACTTTGGGGAAAACATCCTCGAAGATGGTGCAGAGTGTGGGTCGCGCCGGTGGGAACGAAAGGAACTGTTGTACAACAATAAGGCCATCGGGAAGCAAGCTCGAGAGAGGGAAGATAAGAGAAGATGGAGGAATCGTCCCGAGTGTGACGAGCGATTAGACTGATAGTTTTTATCGTGGATCTACGATTCTCCTTGTTGCCGGAGGGAATTGCCTATAGTCGAGCTTGGCGTCATGGGGAATGGTATGAATAAGGTAAGACGATTGCCTCTGGCAAAGAAATCCTTAAGCAATCCTGCAAACACTAGATTCAAAGAAAACCAATTTCTATCATCCACGAAAAAATTTGATAATTTAGAAGCAAAGAAAATTTCATCACGAATATTACTTAACCCCTTGCCTTATGATTTACTTCTCAACTGTGATCGATATAACTACTTTGCCGTTAGTAATTTATTGAAAAGAGAGAAAAATTCTAGGCACATTCCATGCCAATGCTTGCTCTAAAGTATAATTATTGATAACAGGAGAATAACAATTAATTTGAATTCAAAAGAGTTGAATAATATTTATTATTGTTAAATTTTGTTTAAAATCTTCACCACGAGCATGTTGTAAGGCAAGGGGTTAACATTACATACATTAAAATCAGTAAACATTTCTTAAAGATTAACTCCTTTACAAAATGAAGAATGGTCCAAACTTTGTTATATATTACAGATAATATATCCACAATGTGCATCAATTGTCGCGCAATACCTGGTACATACAAAACAAGAATTACACCGAAAAGAGATCGAAAGAATGCCTATGTTCAACGGTCCATTAAAATAAATTTGAATAAGAAACTCATAAAACAATATTACAGATTTATACGTGTAACAGATAAACTCCGAAAGGTAAATTAATGAACCATAGATTCTCCAGTCAAGTTTCGCGTAGTATCTCGCGCGGCCAGTGTTCCATATTCGCAAACGGGGCACGTGTTTCTGCAACGGTCCGTTTCATTATTTTGTATATGCGCGCATACCGGTCGAATTCGTCGTGCTAAAATTATCCGTCCCGAATACCAGAATCCACCGTTCGAAAATACATTTTGCAACTAGCGCGGCGGTCGGTTTCGCGTTCGCGCGTATGTAACAGCGAGAAAAGAATCCAGCGTATCTGTAATGGACCAGGAAAACCGTTGGCCCATTTGTCGATGGCTTAATGGCCATTGTTCCGAGGTATCACGGCGGCGCGTGGAATGGAACCGGTACACACACCGAAGATTTTAATCGATCCGTCGCGATGAAAAGTTAAGAGGTCCGCGGCATTGTTCCCGCGCTACCGAGGCAAAGATACCTTTTCTCGTCCGTCCCCGCTGCGTTTAAGAACGCGGCATCGATTAAACGATTACCAAGTCCCGGGATTGTTCTACCTGTTCGAGTGATCATCCCGCGAAGATGAAATGATTAACGGCGGGACGACTACGTGAAAAAGCTGCCTTATCGATTTACCTCAATGCTATCTCGACCAGCCGCGTGTGTATCTGGAGCACCACTAGACGCGTCTCGACACGCTTAATTGGGATAGGAACTATCGACGGGACTTTAAAAACCTGAATCGTCGTGCTCACGTGTGCTCGAGTCTCGCCCATTACGGGTCGAAAATAGCGAAAAAATAAGTGGAGGCGCACGCGAGAGACATCTAAACGGTCTTTAGACAGTCTCCAGAGGCATCACTCGTGATTAACGCGGCGAATTGCGAGGATTTTCAATACGTTCATGAGGTTAAATATGTACGCGTTCTTCTTTTTTCTTTTAACGAAGAGAACTGTTGATGCTAGACACTTATTGAGTTATTCGAGTTTTTAATTGTGCGGTGATTACGTTCGCTTAGCGAGTTACTGCGACGCGCCATTATTCCACCCTAAGTGATCTGAGACTCTAGGGGTTGCTAATAGAATGTCGATTGTTTCGTAATGTGTAATAGGCAATCTGAATATTATCGTTTAAATTAGTTACTTTCAGATAGTTAAATTATTGATCGTACAAATATTAAACGTAATTAGTAATTAAATAGTAGAAACATTAACTAATGTTTTCATTCAGTATACTTTGAAGAAATTTGAAGAGTACCGTAAGACTAAATTTGAAGAATACTATAAATCTCATGTCTAAGTTTCATTTTTATACCCTGTGTCATTTAGTTTATAATATGGCGCCTTTTGTAATAATGGAAATAATGGTACAAGAACAGAAAGTAATAAATTTCGTTTGTTTAGGTCCTTCCTGGCCTTTATGTCGGGAACTATAATGATAGCAAGGACGCCGATCAATTGGAGCGCTTCGAGATCACTCACATTCTGGCGATCCACGATACGGCGCGTCAATTGCATTCAGTAAGCACGTAGATACTGATAAAGAGTGTGCATAACAATTATGAGAAACAGAATTGAACGGTTTGTTTTGTAGGACAAGCATTATTTGTGCATACTGGCAGCGGACAGTCCTGATCAGAATTTGACCCAATATTTTTCCTTGTGCAATGACTTTATCCACTCCGCCAGGTTAAGGGGTGGGAACGTCCTTATACACTGGTGTGTACACTCGTTCGACCGTTTAAATATTTAAGGGAATAGTTAACGCGTTGACTACGGTACTGGTAATTTAAAACCAATTCAAACTACTCTGTTTCTGTAATCGTACATCGTTGACCTGGTTAGAAGCACATTGCCGTTTCTATGCTGTGTAAGGAAGGAAAAACCTTTCTTTAACCGAACGAAATCTATGCGAGTAATATTACTTTTTAACAAATTTGACATAATAAATATTTAACTTAAAAAATCGTAGGCAAAGTCACAAAACTAGTGTAATGATAATAATAGTAATTATAATAATAATACGTACTTGTTGTACATTTTAAAGTACAGTGTTCTAAAATAATGAGTATTAGAATTTAAACTGGGTTAGTATAAAAGCGAGGTACAGCACAATGCCGTTGTTAAACCGATTGTAGGCGTTGTATACGAAGCTCTATTGTATACAACATAAAAAAATACAAGAAGCTACTTTCCTGTTGCACTCACTAGACTTATAATGGGATAAATTATTCAAATTGGACCGAACAAATTTAGTTATAAACAAAATAAACAACAACAAAGTAGAATGAAAACAATGAAAAAATAAGCTAAATGGAAACCTTAACATTTTTTATGAATGGTTCATATTTTTAAAAAATAAACAAAAAATAATAACTCTGTTTCATTCTCTTTTGCAATCAATGAAATGGCTTACACATGTTGTTTAATCGAAACATCCTGTGTTCGTTAGCACTTAGTTACTAGTGTCTTGGGAACAGTGTTAAACTAGAAACCAAACAAAGAGACACACTAACGTAGTCGATGCGTTAAGCTATGCAAATTGAACATTTATAATTCACGGGATTTAAATGACCAGTCAACGGCCTGATTTTGATCGCAAACCCGTCGACGAAACGATATTGGGCTTTCAGCTTAGCCGGCATGTCGAGAAGCGTCACAGTAGCAGTGGCCTATATCATGAGCACCACCAATCTGTCATGGAAAGAGGCACTCAAAGTCGTCAGAGTGGGTCGTTCCATTGCCAATCCAAACGTCGGGTTCCAGCAACAGCTTAAGGACTTCGAATCCAGCCGGCTTCACGAGGTATTTAAATAATAATGCTCGACCCCAAATCGTCTTTATTCATTGGATTCCTCTATCGAGCTTTCTGAGACAAAATCGAGAGGCCATTTTGTTATAATAAAATACCGTTCACTGTTCGGTATTCATTCTGCCAATATTAATATTTATAATCGGTGATCGTCTATAAAAAAGTTGTATACATAAATTCGCGATTAACATTCAAATAGCTTTAGTAATCCCTCAACGGGGGAGTGTGAATTACTTTGAATACTCATTTGTATTCAACGCGACAGTTACAGTGTTCGATGCTATCGTAACATCTATAGTGGCATGATGGCTGGGTGATAGTTTCAAATCGTTAGTTTTCAATTCTATTTGCATAAATACTGAACAATCTCTCATTTGACATGCTAGAAAAGTGCTTTGTAAATATGGATTTAGGTGTAACATATTTGGCATAGTTTTCATTTGGTAAGAGTTTGATTAAGAATGGAACTTAAACGTTTTTTCCCATTGATGCAGGAACGTCGCAGATTAAAGGAACGATTTCCAAGTCTGGCGCTCGCTCAGGCTGACGCAGAAGTATGTCGCACTACTTTAAAAAATTACGAAACCATGGCACTGGCGCGCGAAGTGTGCGAAGGGAAATGTGCCATGGGCCGTCCTTGTCCAACTGGATTGTGCCGGCAACCATCCAAAAGGTTCGTTACATTTTTCTACAGTCGTGACTAAGTCCCGGCCACTTACAGTCAGAAGTGACCATACGGACGATATAGACTTTCTTGACGTTTCGTTTATTTTTATCTTTGAAGTGTTAACTCTTCACAGCTACCGAAAATATTCTAATTCTTTGTGGTCGACTTTTGTTAGAAAATTAATCAGTCCACAGAAGAAAAATACTTAATAAATTCGTCAACAAATTTACAAATTAAGCAGAGAAAAAATAAGTTACTTTTCATTTGATTCATTTTCCAACGCAAAAAGCTGTTTGCAACAGAATAATATTTAGTCCGTGAATCTAGTTGATTAACGTCGGCTGTGAAGGGTTAATTTATGGTAAGAATAATTCAAAGGCAAAGTGGAAAAGTTGATGCGTTTGAGTTACGTGTGCGCAGGAGTCCAAGAAGAAAACCATCCACGGGGAGTACGAGCAGCGTAACAAGTGGAAGAACACCGCCGCAAACACCAAGATTGCTACCATCCGCTCCACCCTCGCCAGCCATGCACAGATCGAGTAGCGTAGTGTCTGCAACGTCTAGACCTAGAAGTGGCCCTGCTGGATTGCATTATTACACTGGTTCTGCGCCTCCTTCTAGGTAATATTTCTCACTTTATTACAATAAAACTTAATGTGTATCAACATCAGAGCATTATAACAGTCACAGTCGCAAAAAGCATTGATAAATTAGAATAAAACAACATTAAACTGCATGCAATACAATGTTTAGAAATTGATATCTGATGAAATTTATAGATTCTCAAAGTAGACCATTTTTCATTATATTCACAGAGCGGTGTCGAGGGTTGACCTGTCGGGAGCAGTAGCATGCAGTAGTAGCAGTACGAGTCTGCAGTCCGTAGGTAGATCGGGGATCTCCACAAGCAACTGGCGGCTGACCGCAGGATCAGCGCCCAATACGCCGAGACCAACGCCGCCGGTTTCCCCTCAGCGTTGGCCGAGGCGAGCTTCCGCCAGACAAGCGTCCCAATTGCCGGTCTCTCCAGAAACTCCATCCTCGACCACGTAGCATCTCCGAAATTTCGCTTCGTTCTCAACCCTGCCTGAGTAACATCAAGGTCCTCCCGTGGGAACGGAGCGCGGAGCTTCGCGTTTACGATCTTGTCCAAGGTTCACGAGATCCGTGCCGACTCGGTTAGTGAGTGACTGCTACTGGCTACCAACTACGAATGTCTCACAACGAGCAACCTTTTTGCCATTCAACGCTCGCGGAAGAATCGAAGCTATCCACGACACGGGAGAAACCCCCTTGATTCAGCGGCCGGCTAATTTTGGCCGCTAACAGCGAGTGTCTCATAGTGTGTTCGCTTTTTGTCATTTCCTTGCGATACCTGCAGAAGAAGATGACGAAGAAACTGGTTGTGCTTAAGTTTAGACAGAAACAACGGCCATTTCTGATTGGCTAGTGCTGACGAATATTGTCATACGAGTTAGCGCTTTGCCATTTCGTTGCGACGTTTACAGGAGAATGGTAGCTATCGATGATGAGAAAGAAGGTCTTCGAAGACGAAGAAATCAGCTAGATTTAAGGAAGACACGACGGTCAATCCGAATGAGACGAATGATCACGAACAGCGAATCTTTTTGGTATTTCGTTGCAAAGTCTCTAGAAGAACGGAAGCTGTTTACGGCGAAGAGAAGCGTGTTCGAAGATGAAAAAGAGAGCTGTGCTTAATTTAAGGCGGAAATGATACGCAATCCCGATGCATATTGTGATAGATCGAAAGCTTTAAATACAGTGAGTTGCTTGTGTCATATCTGGCTGACGGACTACGGTGCAGCCGAATTAACTTAAATCTGTGTGATTCATTAGCAGCACGAGAATGCACTCTTCGTTATAGTCAATAGAACATCGAGATTCTCGGTGGGATTCAAAGTGTTGACCCTGTCTCTGGGATCGATGATTATTTCTATTTTAGAAAAGAGACTGACAAACAGTTTCGCGACGCTAGTCAGAGCCCGATGCCATCGGCTTTAAACTGAATGCTCACGTGGCCGCTTATCATCTTAATCGTACAACTATGCAATGCTGATGCAGCCGCTGCGACGATCTCTTCTTCTCTTTTGCTTAGAGCGAATGAAGAACATTCCGCCGTGATCGGAATCCGATGCAATACTCCTACGACGCTTCAGCCAGCGATTGTTTAACACGGTATCCGCGTTACCGCGCGATCGTCACCAGACGTAGCGCAAATATGATTTCTGGCGTGCGTGATGCAGCAATCACCGACAATCTTCGCGCGCGATTGTATACAACATGACCCGCAATCGTATTTTTCTCGTAACCGCGTGAACACTCGTTAATTAGCATTTTTTTAAAAATGGAACAAAAATACAAGTAACCAAAGCGCACGATAAATATTGTTGTTTAAGGACGAACGGAAAACCATGAGAGGGGAAACGCGATGCCAGGAATATAGTACTGTTTTAAAATAATAAATATCGAAGCTCGTCCAAATGGGTTCACCGTTTAGTCGTGTAAAAGAGATTTACTCGTAGTGAAGACTCTAGATTACATCTTTTTTCCAATTAATATTAATCGTCCAAGGAACGTAGAGATTCGCTATTAGAGGCTCAGAAAATCGTCGCATCTCGTATTCCTCGAGCAAATTCCTTTATCGGCGAATTCCTGTTAGGGGTTGCGCTACCTTGACACCCTTAAATACTTGAAACTTCTTTTCATCTTGTTTATTTTTACGAAACGCGGTATTTTTACATTTATTTGATCATACTAGATTCCAATGCAGTGATACAATTATTGCTGTATTCATTTTAAATTATCAATTGAAACTGCAAATGATAGATGTCCGACAGTTTTCGAAATACGTTATTAATTTTTTTGTACAAAATTCGTGACAATGTTTTTTGCTTTAATTCAGTCAAGGTAGAGTAATTCCTGGAACGAATAGTTACGTTTGTAAACGCGCGCACCACGAATCGTTGCAATTCAAAATGGCGTGCGAATTTTTAGCGCCGATGCACCATCGCGTTCGCATAATCGAGCGCCGGCGAAAAACAGTTTCGATTCATCCTACACTTTGTTCGTCGAGTCGAAATGGAATCAGAACGATTGTGTTCAGGACTCTTAGGCGAGCCGTTCGTGCGGAACGATCGTAATCAACCCCAGCTAACTTATAATTAGACTGCAAATGTTCATGCGTATCTATTCAGATTTTTTAACAGATTCGGTCCAAAACGAAATTTATATTTCTTACAGCGGTTTCCTTAACCGCGAAGGATCTTGCAAATTTTATTGCAACATACCTAACTTGCAAACCTGAAATTTTACTGCGACATCATTTCTTTTGCACTTTGTTTCGCACGCTCACGTGCACCGTAAGTACGCAAACATTTGCAGTCTACTTGCGATACAGCCAGAATGGGGAAATCGATATCCGGTAACCTGTAATACAGCGCAAAGGGAGATGATTCTACAAGAAAAATAACTCAAAAATGTGGAATAAAATTTGTTCTCAGAAAGCTTCGTTTCCGAGAAAATGGAACTCGACTGTTGACGAGGTACACAAGTTACATATACTTGCTCGGTACACAAACATTTCTGGTTTATGCAAAACTTTCCGTCACTTGCGAAATTGCTGGCATTAAATTGCGGACAAAAATTTGCAGATAAGAACAAAAAATTTAAAAATCACCGGAAGACGATCGTTTTCTTTGGCTAACGGATTGAATTTATCTGAAGTATAGTAAAAATAGTTCTAAAGGGGACATATTTTCAGGACAATTAATTGTACATTAAACGGAAGACAAATACGTATTTTCTTAACAAAAAACGGAGAAAAAATATGAATTTTTGCATAGACCTAATTATGTGTAATTTCGGAAGTGAATTCTTTGAGGAATTGTATTTTACATTTCTGACTTACTATATCGCGTATATTAGAATTGTCGTCATTCTAGCCATGTATTAATATAGACGTAATATTCCGCCATTTTGGAAAACAACTCGAGAAAAAACCAGGTTTTCGAACACGTCTGTGCCGGAGTCCTTCGAATGTTGATGAGGGATACGAGAAGGAAGAAGGAGAACGCGAGTCGTTGTTCCTTGAATCGTTCCATTGAGTTTGTTTGCAAACCGTCCATTGCAATTGTTGGATTTGTAGCGAAACCACGCTGTTTAGCGCAAGTTGTTAACCCTGGGGAAAGCATATACTACGTATATATATATATATGTATATATATATACATGTGTATATACATATACACGAAGTGTGTACGCTAATAAATGGGTTTCATGCACGCAGAGGACGAGACGATGCCGAAATTTCTGTCAGGATTCAATAATTGATAACTGCGGGTTAATTCCTTCACTACCATACATAAGCAAGAAGTAATTTAACGATTGGACTACGGATTTGATACATATATGATAATGATTCAATGAAAGAACAAAACTTAAACAAAGTTAATGAAAGTTTCAATCTTCGTTTAATTGACTAACTAAAGACTAAATCTGTAGGACCATTAACGTCATTTTGTTGTGTGAAAAATCGAGACTCGCATAAACATGTACAGTCAAAGTTTTATACCACTGACTTATTGATTGATTGTTATTTTTCTACTGGTTCGGAGAATTCCAACAAAAACTAACAAATCGATATCAGGTATAAGAACTCTACTTATTCTCGTAATAGATACGTGACTTCAATAATCCGAAATAACTGGCACACAACGCAAGAAACGTTCTTTATACAAAAAATACATTATCTATCGTTATGTAAACTGCCTCTGTTCGTGCGAAAGACGCGTTTATAGCGTACACCCTGTATGCATACACAGCCTATAGGCATATGTTGTTACAAAAGGGATTTCAGAAAATTTTATAACTTGTTGGCAATGGTGATTATTATGCGACTACGTCGTACATTTACGTAGACACGTTGTTACACTTCTTTCGTGCACCAAAGTACTCTTGGTGGAAAACGTATAGCGTGGTTGTAAAATCGATGAGTAGCTGAAATACTCATGCTCCTGGCACTGGGACAAACGAATTGACAGAAACATAAAGTACCTATGGTTTCGGTATTCGTTCAGAGTCACGCATGAACTCGTTTTTCCAAGCTCGACCTTTCTTGCCCACTTCTGTTTGAACTCGATGCTTCGTTTCTGATTCATCAAACGAACGCAAAAAAGGAACTGAAACATTTTCGAAGGCCAATCAAAATTTTATAGTCTTCGTATCGGTTTACTACGTTTTTACCACGCTGCACAGTTTCCACTAATTATACGATTTACCGACGAACGAGAGGCGAACGTTTGCGAGCGGATCACCGAGTTTCATCCCTCCCCTATCGTCAATACGCAATTTCCTCGATTCGCACGATAGAATCGTTTATTTTTCTAGAATCATCCGATCGATCATCTAGTCCGATAAGAAGAAACAATTAGAGGATAGTACACTTGTACGCGCTGTTGAAGAATGTAAAGACAGGCGAACATGAGCGCTCGTTTTATTCGATTTTTTAGCGTTACCGAGTCCGGAGGGTGATTTCCTGCGCGTTCGGTGCATTAGAATATTTTTGTTACTGTCTGCGCGGTTAACACGTTCGCAACCGGCAATTCTTTTTTCAATCTAATGCTCGTCACCACATTTACAAGCTTAAATCTATAGCTAAATACAGAAAAATTCTAGCATCGAAACAATAAACATAGTTGCAAAGATCACTTTAGAAATCACGTTTGCAGCTACTGATTAATTCTTAAAAATTTTAAGCAGTTTAGGAAATAACTTAGTACGTAATAAACAAAGCGACATTTTTTGTAAGTACCGTTTTAAATTTTATTCATAGGCGTAGGAAAGCAAAGTTTTATACTTCGTGTTTGCGTGATGCTTTTTAAACATATTTTCTTACGCAATAGTAGGTATCTTTTGGTACTGGAAATTGTTTGAATAATTTTGAAAGAATTAAACAGCTATTGTTAACCAGCTATAGATTGAAAGAAAGGCATAATAATAGATCAATGGCAGCCAGCAATAATTTTTATTAGATGACGGTTGCGAATATGTTAAAGTCACTTTCTCCACGTGAAGCTGTACTCTTTTGAAAATGCTGATCAATAGTCTAATGAAATCGATGAAATTAATTTACCGATCTTACTTCTATTTTTATGTTTATTCTTGATTTTTACATGAAATGCTCGTTGATCGAGCAGTACGTTACTACCCGATTTGTGGATCAAGATTAATTTTATCGATCTCGATAACGCCAGTTATCATTCCGAGTAGCCCAAAAAAGTACAGCGGTGATAATGTTAAAAATTCACAAAATATTTTTTATAAACTTATTGTTTTCAATATTTGCTCGATATCAACATATCGCTGTTATATTAATTAAAGATATATTTAAATATACACAGGTACACATAAAACGCATAATCATTTAAAAGCGAGAAAATGTATAGTTAAGGGAGTTCGATATGTATAATTTCAAGGAATCGATTCATTACGTTTTGTCATAGAATTTCCTGCTCAATAAGCTTTGTTGCATTAACCTTTTACCGCATGGTTACCTTTTTAAGAAAACATCTGATCTAGAAAATGAAATTTGACGTTGTGATTATAAAAAATGAATCCCAGAAATACTTTCTTATACTTTTAGTACCAATAATTCTTTATGCAACAATAACATTTACAAAAAGTATAATAATACATAGTAAGAATTGTATCATAAAAAAGCACATCACATTTTATGTAATGAAACACAGTTTACAACATAATTTGTAACATATTTCATAATTAGTACTTTATACTGATGACAGTTAAAAAATAAAATGTTTGGTCTATCATACGTGATGTATTATGCGATCAGAGGTTAATGCAATTTTTAGGACCCAATACATCTATAGGACATTTCATGTTTCGTATTAAATGCTTGAGCTAAACAATCTTTATGTTGCAGTTGTAAAAAAATTACGTTAAAAGGAAAACGAGAAAAAGAAGGAAACCGGAAATCATTTTCAAAATAAGTAGTAACTCGATTCATGTTTAATAGGGTAACTACCGAAACAAATTTGTGTCGCTGTCCTACTCCTCCCAAGATGAAAATGTGTATAATATAATACAGGATGTTTGCATTGTTAGGTTCTTTTTTATGAAACATTAAACACGGGATCAAACGTGAAGTACGCGATGTGAAAAATTGGATTGTATCTGAACTTCATTAAAACTTTTCAAACAGGCATAACAGATTATTCTTTCGTTAAAAATTAATTCTTCGAACGTTTTAAAACGATTTCAAAATTTATGTTCTTGAACTTCGATTAAATTACTTGTTAACAAGTTTAAACACGTTCAGTTACTTGTAACATACTTGTGAAATTTATCACATTTAGTCATCTTAATGATGATTAATTTTTTAATCCTTTTCCTTCTGTGAAACTATTTTTACTATTTGAATATTTCTTTTTTAACATTACCGAAACATTTAAGGGCTTTCAATAGATTCTAAGAACCGTTGGAAACATGTAATTTGTCATTCATGATTTTCAAAATATAACTTGAAAAGTTTTGGAAAGCTTTAATAAAAATTCTGGCGCTTCGTAAAATAAGTTGCAATGCTTATTTATTTCCATAAAACAAACATTTCAAATCTTTAATATTCGATGGAACGTTTGTTAATGAAGACCAAAGTATATTTATATTTATATTTTACTATGATGTTCATTAGATGGCGCGATACGAACGCTTTTTGAGTATAGGAGTTTCCCAGCTTTAAATGTTTTCTTTTCATACTGCTCGAAAGAAGTTAAAATCAAAACATTTCTTGAATGACTTGTGAAAGTGAATGTCATCACAACTGTCACAACTCATTATCTTCGTAATTTTGTATAATTGGAATGTGATCGGTTTACTCTTGTTTAGCAAAAACCAATAATGATAACAAGAAACGAATACTAAATTTAACCTGCTAATCAGGAGTGTGATACTTCGCAAGTTTTTTATTATTTAAACATGGAGGCCGTTTAAAGTTTTAGTAATTATTTAACAATAATGAATGTATTGAAAAATTTGTTTGTAATAATGCGCAATAAGTATTATTTCATGGAATGAGTTCCTCTTCTATTTCGGTATCTCTTTGCGTTATTCGCGTCGAGATTGTTGACGAAAATTCTGAAGAAACGAATGGTAAATATTTCTTTAGTCTGTCCCTTACAACAAGAACTTTCACTTTTCTTTTTAGGACTCCATTGTTTCCGTACCAAATTATTCCAATAAATCTGTTTGTTTACAACCTTCTTTTGAGGTTATATGGATTGTCATAACAATATTATCCGTTTTCATAATTGTTTTTCTTTGTTAGAAGATAGAGAAGATACTATTTGCGAAAACTTTTCTCTCATACCTTTGTCCTTTAATCATGTACTGATAAATAGACAACAAACACGCATGAGATTATAATTTTAAGATATATTCGAAGGTATTGTTCTTTTAAATATTGATTAATATTGTTCAAATAATTTTTGATTTAACATTCAAAGAATCTCAGTTCGAGGAAAATTTACTTTTACTTTCATGCATTACTTTTAAAGAAAAAATGTAAAAAATATATTTTGTTAATACTACATTAATTTGCAATGAATTTTATAATTCAGGAGCAATGGCTGCGAAGATGAGAGGTCGCAGAGAACCAACAAGGATAAATATGGAGAATTGCACAAACCTTACAGAGAAATCAGACTTAACGCTTCCTTCTCAAGGAACTAGTACGTCTGGATCTACTTCTAGGGCTAATTCTGAGGAAACTACTTATGATAACTCAGAGATGGCTGGTGCAAGTGCTTGTGCGTGTGACCAAATAAATTTCATTTCTGGAAATCCATTTGTTGAAGTGACGAAGGGAATTATACATTTATATAAAGAGAAGTTTGTATACCATGTTCTTAGTCTGTTATTATTAATTACAGAAAATAATTATTATTATCATTTTGTAGTAAATTGACTGACATACGTCAAGCAGCAGAACGCACACAAACTATTTGTATCCTAGCAGTCCCAGCTACAATGACTTGTCATGATCTTCTAAGATTTACAGCACCTTGTCATCAAGATATACGTCATTTTAGGATACTCAGAGACGGTAGCCCTAATCAATACATGGCTTTAATTACCTTCAAATCAGCAGTAATTATAATTAAAATTCTTCTTAAGAGTTGTATCTTATTGGAAATCATACTGATAGAAATATGTATAAAACGAAAAGGATATGAGCTTATATTTATGTGTAACAATACTTATAAAAATTCTTGAAAGTTAAGAACAATTACAACTGAAATATATTGATGAAAAATATGAAAGTATTTAATACAGAAATCATTTATCATTTATCAGTTATCAGTTATTTTTATCAGTATTCTTCTACATAATATCTATCATGACATCTATTTACTGTATATCATATTAATGCTTCAATAACATTTCAGAATGCTGCAACAGAATTTTATGGTTCCTTTAATGGTACACCATATAATTCCTTTGAACCAGATGTTATCTGTCACATGGTATTTGTGTATAGTGTAGAAGTGACATACAATGCTATGCCTCTGTCTGGACATACAGAACTACCACTTTGTCCAGTTTGTTTAGAGAGAATGGATGAGAGTGTAGATGGAATTCTAACAATTTTATGTAATCACACGTTTCATGCAAGTTGTTTAGCCAAATGGGGAGATACTTCTTGCCCTGTGTGCAGATATGCTCAAACACCTGAATCTCTTGCAGACAGCTATTGTATGGAATGTAGTACGTAAAAGATATATGTATTTCCTTTTTTGTTGAAAGGAGGGAAAGTAAAAGTAATAAATGCATATATCTTTCAGATAGCACCGAAAGTAATGATGCCCTATGGATATGTTTAATATGTGGACACATAGGTTGTTCGCGATATCATCAAGGACACGCGTTTCAGCATTATCGTGAAACACAACACTGTTATGCTATGCAACTGGGAAATAACAGAGTTTGGGATTACGTAGGAGATAATTTTGTTCATCGATTATTACAAAACAAAGATGGAAAAATGGTCGAAGGTGGCCCCACGGCAACTAAGGCTGAAGGGGCTGCAATGGAAGAAAAAGTAGATTCTGTACAATTGGAGTTCACTTATCTTTTAACCTCACAATTAGAAACTCAAAGGCAATATTTCGAAGAGAGACTTTCTCGGTTAGAGCAACATTCTGTTGTACAAACTACAGAACTTCGAGACAAGTTGAGTCAAGTAGCAGAAGAAAATTCCAAAGTTAAGGTAATTTTAATATTGCGAAAAATAATAAAACGGAAATTTTCAGTACTTTTAGATATATTTATATAAAATGAAATTTATTTATTATGTACTTCAGGAAGGGTTAGCAACGTTACATCGTGAAAAACAAAGTGTAGAGAAACGGCTGCAACAAGTTACTAATAAATTGGTACAAGTTCAAGCTGAATTAACTGAAGAGAAAGAGCTAAGAAAAGCATTAGAATTAAATCAGGTGTCTTGGCAAGATAAATATAAAACGCTGCAAAATGAAATGACTGAATATAAGAACGGTAAACAGGCAGAAGTCACAGATTTAAAGGAACAGGTGCAGGATTTAATGTTCTATATTGATGCTCAAAAGAAAGTAGAAAGCTCGGAATTAAGGGAAGAAATAGCATCTGGTCGTATAATGATTCCAGAAACTTCCGGCACAATTAAAAAGAATACTAGACCTAAATCTCGCAAAAAACACTGATGTTAGTACTTAATATTATACATAGCAATTAAAATTTAGGTCTTATATAAAAATCATTGATTTGTATCTTTCGTAATTGAAACTGTATTATAATTAAAACATTTTTCAAGTCGGTTTAAACCACTCACCGCGTAAAATTTAAAAGTTAATTCACTGGTTTCAATAATTTAAAAAAGGTATATAGGAAAGAAACAAAACTAGCAACATAAAAGACCAAAATTTATAATTCAGAAAGTAACTTTTTATAGTAAAAGGTCTAGAATGTTCTTTTATTTTATGAAAGTATGCGAAGACAATTGTTTAAGATTCGCTGTTTTTAAAAATGAAAAAGATATGCGAAAGAACACGTATTTTAAATATGAATTAATGTCTAGTATATATGCATATGTGGGAAATTTCGAACTTTTTTTTTATACTGAAAAAATAAATGAAGTGAGCATAGAGTTGTGTTTATTATTTTCCGTAAAACTGATATTTCAAAAATGAAGATACGATTTAACTTAAACTTGTATTAATAGTTACTATGTAATAGTGTTAAACAAAAAATTTACAATTCTTATGTAAAAAGAATCTGTTATACTTTCTATAACGAGTGTGTGCTTCAAACAAATATGATCTCATAAGTATTGACTCTTAAAATAATTATATAAATATTTGAAGAAAGTTAGTGCAATAATTGGAAAGTATTTAGTGAGCTGTTAATTGAATGACCATGTGATACATACATACATATATATGTATATATGTACAATATATATGTATATATATATATAAATGTGTATTTGAACTTGAATAAATTTCTTTACTTACAAAGAAAAACGTATTTTCACCTATCTACTTTGTATAATGCAAGACAGTTTGTTAATTCTTTAGCCATATTCCAAATTAGCAGCACGTTTACCTTATAAATACATATATTGAAATTCTTTAACGACTTCATTGTGAATGCAACTCCTTTCATATTGGAGCAACTCGGAATGCACTTCAAAACTTTGTAAAAACCTTGGCTCATTTGTACATACTTTCATGCCCCTGTTACTAATTTTATCATTTGTTTAGCATGTTAAATATTCCGTCGTATTCTCAACTCAGAAACAAAGGGTTAAGACAACAGTAACGATATTTGCAAATAAAAAATGCAAAGAAAAACTTATTTAAAAAAGTACCTCAATACATAATTTTTATTAAGGTATACACATGTTGCTGATTTATAGTTTCTTTTTATGGTAATAATTATCCTATATTATCCTCATAAGGGTACGAGTTGTTTTTTTAGACAATTATTAATTGCCAACAAGAATTCGCTGGCTCTGTTATAAAATAAAACTGATATACATATTTACATTATCTACAATTGCATTCAATGGGGAATGCACGTGTTTTTTTTTTAACTAAACGA